TACATACGTATGTTGCACAACTTACTCCTGCCGGGTTTTGTGCTTGATGACACCAACCTGTCATCGGTTGGACTAAAATCTTCCGATGTAACTGATAATACATTCACTCTGTGATTGCTCACTGGGGCTGTCCAAAAAGGGGTTTGTGAGCGTCTTCGATGAATAGGTGCGGTAAGCGCTGATAATTGTAAGGCGTTTAGCGAGAAATTCGGATACCATCTCAAACCATAAATGGTATTTAGGTTTGATGAGAAAATTAATTTCTAATGAGCGTAATTCCTGTAGACTCTCGCATGCCTGATTAGTAATTATTGCTTGATCCAACTTCCGGTTATCTGTATAAATTGCCTTTTGAATAAAACACTGCTCCTCTATCACGTTTTTGTATCTGCATAAAGGTGGTTGTTTATTCGTTTATTTTGCGCATTTTGAAGTAGGCAGCATTTTGTGGAATGTTTTCCCTGAAAGAATGAATTACTGATGTTTTCTCTAGGTGTACCAATACATACATATTTGAAAACAACCAATGTTTTCAACAGCTCCCAAAATATATACTAGACGTTTTTTTCGGAGTAAACCTAAGCAGTCATTAACATAACTTCAGCTTTCGCGAGAAATTACCTTTAATATAAATCACGCTGCATCCTTTGCGAGCGTCGTGATTAAGTCGTGTAATATTAGGCCACACTGATAGGGATGGGACCATTTTGACCCTTTTCACAACCATGATTTTTATTACTAAACAAAGTATACCAGATATTCAAGCATCGGTTTTCAGGAGCAAAAAAGGCCCTACATAAAGAATAGAAAAAACAGCGTGTTTGTGTATTCTGCTCAACATATTGGTTACTTCGAAATGACACAGATGGTCATTTCTTCGAAGCGTAATTTACTCGGCTGTTAGAGGTGAAGACCCCATCATGTTGGAATGGAACTGGAATTACATTCCCTGACAGTCACCTTTCGAAATTCACCAAAATCAGACTTGGGAAACTTCCCATGGCAACATTCAGAGGCCCATCTGGCGGCAAATTCTCGTCAGACCAGTACATTTATATGGGAACGGGGTAGAAGCAAAACATGCCAGTGGCTAGAGAGGCCGACTAAAGTTCGTCTTAAAACACAGGCAGGGCGTGAAAATATTGGGGTAGGTGGGGGCGATAACAGTCAATGCCAGGGATGGGGTAGGAACTGAAGTGCGCGGAGAGTTGCATGTACTTGGTCAACATTTGGCCTCGGTAAGCGCGGGGTCGGGACGAGGTTCTTCTGCGCGCAGAAGACCGGCTTTCGTAATCTGATGACGACCGCGTCTGCTCTTGTTAACAGACGCTGGCGCAGCAGCTTAGGGTAACTAAACGGGATCTTATAAATCGCGCTAAAAGCTTCACTGGGATCCACACGCTGCCCCGAATCAATACCGTGCACGAGGATGGCGCTGTTTACGCTCCTAGTCTCGCCTTTTCTCAGTCATGCCGGGAGATGTACTCGTATTCTCTTGTGTAGGCGCCGACTCGTTTAGCCGATATGACCTACTCCACAGGAGAAAGTGAAGGAATAGATGCACATTGAAGTGGTCTGAGTTGGCAACCTATCCTTACCCTCTGGGCGTAAAATACGGTTGATAGATAGTAGTATTTGAACTCCGGTTGTTGGGAGGGTTCGTGAGACAGCTTGACCAAGAAGCCTTCCCAGGAGTTTACTCGCAGCGCCCACTTGAAGCCGGACTTTGAGGAACTGCGTTTTCTTTTCGGCAGTCAGCGTGGGGGGTTTTTTCGTTCACTCAGCAATATTTTTTGCAATAAACCTGTCAGGATACTCGTTTTTGCGAAGTCAGTCCTGGAGAATTCCAAACTCCTCCTCTGTGCTATCTCCAGAGCAAATCTTTCTAGACTTTTGCATCAAACACTGGACTAGATTTCGTTTTTTTTGAAGGGGCACGAAACTGCCGAAGTTCATGTATTGTACAGACCAGGCTTTCTTCTGATACACGCACCTTAGGACTCTATTGTCAGGTCTCCTGTATAGGACATCTAGGAATAGGAGGGGACCAGCCGTATTCATCGCCATCGTGAACTTGGTCGACGGATGTACCTGATTTATCGCATTTAAGACGGCAGCTATATCAGTTTCTGCGATGGCGTTGGCAAACATGTCATCAACGTAACAACCGTAATTTTTGATCTCATTGATCTGATCACTCGGTCGAAATCTGTCTCGCTTGCGCATGAAGACATCGGCTAGGAGAGGTCCAAGAAGGGAGCCAATGGCAACGTCGTCTGTTTTTTTCTACAGCTGGTCCTCAAAAAGGAACTGCATATCTAATGCGCATTTTAGCATATTTGGGGACATGACGAACGTCAGGCGAATTCCCTTGAGTATTGACACGCCATCAAAACCCAGTCAATGCGATGTCTCCTCAAACGATTCAAGTTGTATATCAGAGATCACCTGCAAATAGGATTTGAGAGGAGCTCTAGTAGTTAATTGGAACAGCCTTCGCTTTTACAGCCATTACATGAGTTCCAATATTCCCGAGATATACAGCCTACTTGATGCACCTAGGCAGTCCTAGAATCCAACGTCTCATTCACTCGTCTTCGCTCGCTAGAGCCCTGAAACACGTTCGAAGCGGAGAAAAGGCATGACTGACTGTGGTCTCCGGGACAAAAAGTTTTTTCGCCTGTCGTTTTGGATTACAACTCGAGTCCGGCATTAGAGACGACCACTGAAAGTGGTGACAGGTATCATACAAAGTGCGACCACACCTTCTAATTCAACGAGGCCGAGGTCCTCGAAGGTGGCGAAAACTGCGTGAGCCACGTGAAGCGCGCGAGCGAACGCTGCTTCTGTTGGCAGTATCAGCGAAACAAAGTACTGAGTCATTATCACATCAATAATTAACAACAGCGACTAGATTACGGCAGTTGGCGACTCGGATGCAGGCATCCATTTACGATGAGTTTGGGAACCGTTAACTATGATAGGCATGTAATTGCGTGCCTCCTACGCCCTATCCATACTGCTCCGCTTTTATGTTTTGTACCCTTATCTGTGACGGTCTCTGATAATGGGTTGGAGTGGGAATTCGAAACGTCAGGCATCTCCTTCCCGCCAGCTATTTCTTGGACCTCACCTTTTAAATCTCATCAGCGGATATATGTCTCGCTGGGGTTATTTTCGTGATCTGAATCACTGCTCATCGTGAACGGCAGGTGAACAGCCAGTGTTTTATGTCTTTTTGAACAACTTCCTATCATTGCTATATGGCGGGTCTGAGCACTTTGCAGAAGACGACCATACTCACGAAACACTGATCGAACTGTCTCACTACGCATTCACTTTGCTGAGAGCATTGAAGCTAGGTTGCAATGATGGTTAACAGGGAACAGAATCTTGGACTTTATAAAATCTGCACCGTCTCAGCCACAAGACTTATTATTTCAGCCCTTGGTACTTTTCTTTGAACTGGCGATGCCTGCGTTAATCCAGTTATAACCTATACAATGAGTAAACGGAACTTCACCTCCTATACAAAAATCATTTATCAGAAAATTGTGTCTTCTTTAAAGTGCGCCCTCGAATGAGGGAAATCACCCCTCTTACAATAGTTATTACGAATTTCCGAGCATTTCGAAACTGAACCCAAGGCACATTTTCGAAGGGAGCCCTTTCTCTGACAGCACATGTGTAGATTCACGAAAAGGGTGATTATCCCGCCCTTGATTATTAAGCAAAACACAAGAGGACTGCGGATCGTAATACTAGTTTTATTGGCTACAGCCGAAGACACCCTTCTTCAGCCTCTCAGCGAGTTTAGTTTACGCGCAATGTCGTTACGGTACGAGAAAGTACCGCCTCACCAAAGTTAAGGTTTTAAATTCCGTAGCCCCTCCCCCCGCGCAAGACCGTTCAGGATGAACTGAGCACTGCGAACCATAATGTGCATTGTGCCAAGACTGTGCGCTTAAACACCCACGCATGCAAGTCAGTAAATTTTGTAGGCGTTCTCTGTCAAGTCAGGGTGCCAAGTCCATGGCAGACCTTGCTGCGCGCTGATGATGCAATTCCTGTTTGATCTTGACAGGGATGGTGCATGGGGATTTCGTCAGCAGGACCGAAGTTCATCCTCGTGCTTTCGTCCAATCGCTGGAGTATGACAGATGAAGTAAGGGCGATTAGTGGACACTGGGTTTTGTCGTTTTCCCAGGCTAGAGCGAATGCCTGTCAGGCAGCTATTACGAGTAGATTGGGAAATATACGTTCGGTTCAGTCCAGTACGTGTGAGGTAAGGTAGGCGTGTGTGTTTTAGATTGTGGCGGTCCAGGACGTGAGATCAACTTAAACCACGCACAGTATGTTCATTTCGTCTCATGTCAGAAGTCAGGGAGCTGTGAGGACTAGTTTATTCTGCACACAGGGCAGGTTGCCGTAAGTTGGCTGTTTGCTTGCAACAGAGAAAAGCGTCCGTTCACGGAGAGCGTCAGTCGCGGTGTGTCGTTTACGCGGGAGGGAGTCTGTATCAACGGTAAGGGGTGACTGGCTGGGTGTTGGTCGTGTGATTGGACGGATTAGGGAGGAAAAGGGGGTCGCATGCTCACAAGGGTTCACGGGTATTAAGCCAGGACGTCCGACGCACTTGAGGTGATGAAAGTTTGTGAGGTCAGACGAGAGTCATTGAAGTTGGACCGGAGGTGTCCCAGTACTAACCGGCGGGGGCGGCCGTGTGTCACCAGCTGTCGTGACCACTGTTCGACAAAACGGAGCCGGAGAAAAGGAGGGACTGGAGCGGCTGCTACAAGATCACGCGCAAGTCACCGTGCCTGCTTCAGCTTGTTGTGGAGCACGCGGTGGAGATCGTCGGCAGCGACGGTAGAACTGTCGTGGCACCGAAACTTCAGCAATTTGGATACGCGTTGCAACACAGGCGTATTTGCACTTAACTCTCTCTCTCTTTTGGAACTTTAGATCCGCCAAAAGTGACACAGTTTCAACGGAGAGTAATGAACTTTGGTGAGAATTTCAACGCCACCTGCGTTGTACAGGGAAATCCGCTGCCAGAAGTTGCTTGGTTCAAAGGCGCCTACCAAATATCCACCGTCACGAGGGATGAAAATGTGCGGGTGGAAATTGTCACGTGAGCAACAGAGACCCACACTTTATGAATTACCTTTCGTGTACTTTATTTGAGTCAAATTTTACTTCTAATTCTGGTTTTCAGTGCAAAGCTTACAAACTGGACGAACTTCCAAAATGTCACACGTCATAAAACGCCATTAAGTGTTACTTACGTGCACAGCGATAGTGAACATAAGGCGAGAGTAGGTATTTAAAGTTACCGTAAGATGTAAAAACCCCACTGTTAGAATGTCAAAATGAGGTGTATGAAAACTTAAGGAGTAATCACCCCCTCGGACACCCTATGCGATTTCCAAGGATTTTTTCTTCTTCACTGGAACTGCCCATGAAAAGTCAACGGCACACCACTAGGCTGTCGATGCCCAGTTCAAATGATGAAGTCAAGTTGCATTGACAAAAACGCTCACTTTTGAATACTACCAACCTAGAACGACAGTTCGACTGTCGAAAACGGCAGTGTCCATCGCGTACCCAACTGATAGCGCTCCGTAAAGATGACCTGCACTCGACTCTGGACGACTGGAAGCAAGCGTGGCGGACAAAAACCAAACGGCCGTCTGCGCGCGCACCTCACACGACCTGGTCTTCTCTGCGACTACCGGACTTTCATAGGGGACGAATCAGCTTCCCTCTCTGTGGAAGTGCCCAGGGAGCAAATTCCGAAGGATCCATTGAGCCTGAATCCTGAATTCTGAGAAGAATTGCTTTAGCCTGTCGGTTGGTAGTTTTGCAGACCACGACTGTTAGCACGACGTGGCAAAATCAAAAGCGACTGCGCTGATATGCCGTGAGAGTGGACTATCCGATGTGGAGCACACCTCCTCTGTCCTCCTAATCGCACCAGCTGGCCGTCCCAGTCGTCTCAGTTGCAGACGCGGCGTGAAGGCCTCCATGCAAGACTGGAAACCGGCCATGAACTTGCGCAGACCCCGCGCAGAACGATAAACGCCCGTCGTGAGCCCGTCGGGGCCGCTTTGTGGTCCAACGCCTTTCGAGCGCAGCTGTTTGTGGGATCATAGTCGTGAACATGGCGTATTTATGACTCAATCGTCCCCGTAATTCAGGACAGAATCCAAAATGTCTTCCAGTAGCTTAATGTAATCCTTATATATATCCACTTCGGAATGGAGGGGGAAGAAAATTGTCAATTACCGCTACCAGGCAGGTTCGTCTACAGAAAAAATTGATGGGAATTCGAGACGAGAGCTTACTGGAAGACGACGTATCCTCATATACTCGGGATCTCTGCGGTGATCACCTACAGTTTTTCACACAAACGCATCTGTATGAGGATCCTTGGCTGACTAAATGACCGGATTTCATCTCCGCTGCACCGTCTTCAGCCAGTTAAACGGACCATCTGGATATTAATCTGTCAATCCCTTGTCAGACGTATTGACAACACAGATAGGGCGTATTGGAGAGCCATTCTCGATATCGGAGAGGTCATCGTCAGTCTAACCGTCGTGGAAGCCGATGTCAGAGCAGGATGAGCGTAAGACGGTGACTTGATTGTGAATTAGTTTGCAGTGGTAGATGGTTTGTGCAACATCTGACGAACTCTCTCCTGCCCCACCCACTTGGAACCCGTTGTAAGACAGGGTTGGGTCTACCGGTGAAGTGATCGGGCGCATTGAGTGGTGAGGGTGAACAAACGTCTACGCGTGCCGCACGTGTGCTTTTCCGCGTCCGATGAACGGCGTTTTCGCTGACCCAAAGGGGCCACATGAATACAATCCGGGTGGGAGGGTCATGAAGAGCAACTTCACAGTCTAACCATCCATCCTCAAAGGACTTTGCTATCCTGTTAGTTGACGCCTTCAGCGTTGGGATACCTTAAAAACGCGTCAGATTGTTTATAATGGGGTGCGTGCGGCTGGAGTCTAAAGAGTCGACCCAATTCTCTCTACCATTTCCAATGCGGCATTTCATTGTCTAAATCGGTCAGCTCTCTGATTTTTGAGTTGGGTGCAAGTGGCTGGCGCGGCTCGATCCTGCGCCGAGGCTTGCTCCCTCACCCCGTGTGTGACATTTGTTATGGGATTCGCCAGCTTCGCAAAGCCCGTATAACGCGTACTCTGTCCTGACCTGGCCCTCGATGGCCCAGCGCATCTCCCGAGTGGCCCGTTTTAGGGGCCACTGCCTAGGGTGTGGGCTCTTGCTGGCCGTCAACACGTACGATGCATAAAAAAATTGGTCACACAGATAATTTCCCCTCTTCTGTATCTAATATCATTTGGAACATGTATATACAGAGAAGATGCGATAGTTGCTCGTTCTTCAGGCTACGGAACATTCGCATGCCGTTTCACACGGGTTCTCTATTTCCAGCGCTCGCAGGAAGTCCCACAGCGGTCTGTAGCGTTCCCATTGTAACCTACAGTAAAATTGGAACTTTTTCAATCCCGGAACGCTTGATTTAAATCTCCCCGACCAAGATGTTCAGCTAGGGTATGGTTAGCTGACAACGACTGACAAGCTAGAAATAATCATTTCAATCTTCGATGTCTTTGCGGGTTCTTCTTAGGCATAAACACTGCGTAATCGCGGTTGTTGCCTTCCGAGGGCAGCTGAGATCCCGAAGTACTAAGACTAATGGCATTTGATCAGAAACAAACTTCCATTCATCCAATCTGGACCAATAATCCCGTCCTTTTCCTCTTTAGTGTTGACAAGACAACTCGGCATGCTATTCTGGAGATCACTGGACTTTTGATTCTGGACAACGGCGATTATTCTTGTCGGGCAAGTAATACGCTTGGTACGGCTTCCTCTACCCTCCAGTTAAGAGGTATGTACTCCTCTACTTTTATTCTAAAAAAATTGAACAGTCCTGTTCGTAACACTTCTATATCCAAGACTGAGATCATTGCCTAAAATAACTGTCTATAGAAAATAAACCCAGATCCGCATTTCAATATAGTTATAAACAGGAAGTATCTCAGAAAAATCTTTCTGGCTTGCTCTGACCCTAAAACCCGAGAACTGAGCCATCTCGGGTTCTTGGGCGTAAGCGCAGAGAAAGACGACTGCTAATCAAGTGATCTAAAGCTAAATTGACTATACTGCGATGAGGTACAGTAGGTGGGCTAACTCATGAAATGTCAACCGGAATTCCGAAATGCGTCTTCGTTTCGAAAGGATTAATTAAGGAGGGTTGCAAAACCAATCATCTTGCAGCACAATTCTATAATAATTAAGTTACCACAGAATGCCGGCTTTCGAAAGAATCTCCTCCCGGCCGCATGCAAAAACTATACTCCGTAAAAAAGGACTACTTATTAGCATACATTTTTCTCCTTGACGTTCGATGCCCATAAAAAATTCAATTAAATTTCCTGGAAGGCATGCATAAAAATATTCATTCTTTTGCACATTCGGTAAAAAATGATGCCCTCTTTCAATTTCATACTCTAAGAAAGTCTATAATTCGGTTTACAAAAATTTTTCCAATTCCCGATAACTTTTGAACCCGATCCGCCGTTACACTTGCATTCGGTGTTTCCAAACTACAAGCCGTATATTTCCCGTGGACGGAAACGATACATTTCTCTGCGATATTAAGAGTGAACCATATGGGGTACAGAAAATTTGGCAGTGGATTTAAGTCATATTGTACGCTCTGCAAGCCACAATGGCAAATGCAGACACACGATATTTACTGAATAGACATTTCACAGTATAAAAAAATGTCATGACTAGAAACTTTTCGAAAACCGAATTATATGATTTCTTAGAGTACAAAATTTAAAGAAGACATAGTTTTCCACCAAATGAGCAAAAGAATGAATGTTTTTGTGCACACCTTCCATGAAAAATAATTTAATTTTTAAGGGCATCGAAAGTTAACGAACAAAATGTATGCTAGTTAAGTAGTCATTTTTTGCAGAGCATGTTTTGTGCACGAGCCAGAAAGACGTTCATTCGGAAGCCGGCGTCATGAGGTAGCTAAATTATTATAGAATTATGCCACACAATGATTAGTTTTAAAACCCCACTTAAGTAATCTTTTCGAATCAAAAAGGCATTTCGTAATTTAGGTTGGCATTTCATGAGCTAGCCAACCTACCGTAATTGGTGATGGCTCAGTGCTAAAATTATTAAAACCTACATGTAAATTGAGTAAACTGACATGCTCTACCCCTTGCCATTTCACAGAAGGCCTGGAACCCAAGCTTCTCCCTGGGTTTTGGCTACAGACCTAACCTAGTCCCCATGTGAATTCTTACTGAGATCTTCAAAACAAATGCTAGGTTTCGCTAGTCCTGCCCTAATTGCACCACTGGTACATAATCTGCGAAGGGCGGTGACTCGGTTCTCAGGGCTTCACAGGTGGATCATTTCTTTTTTCAGAAGACTTTTTTCTACGTGCTGCGCATGTTTGAATTCGGCTGCCAAAGGCCTCTTGCAGTCAGTGGATGAACGCAATAGCAGTAGCCGATGTTTATCGCAGCAGGGCCATTAGGGAACAACCATCAATTTAATAAATATATTTTAAGAAACTTGACAAAAGGTCTTAGATGTTCTGTGTGCGTTTTTTTCAGTGTCAACAAGTGGAATCAGCCAGAGTGAAAAGGACAACATTATGGGTAAGAGTTGCTGCCCTTTACAATTGCTACTGACGTTGGGAATGCAGGACCTCTGCCCGCCAAATGATTTGCTTTCATAATTTATGCCATACTTTAAAATGACAAAAACCTCAGGATCTTAGGAGGTACAGAGTGCTATTTTTAAACTAGTGTTACTCAATCCATTTTTCTAGGGTTTATGGGTTGCATCTTAGCGGTGAAGGACGTGACTATATGGTACAGTTGCCACGTCTTCAAACATTTTTCGCCTTTTTAGACGTGCGGGAGCTTATTCCCTGTCCGGAGGTCGAAAACCACTGCATGAACGGTGGGGAATGCTTCGCGAACAAGAAAAATCCGCTTGAGAAGACTTGTAGGTGAGTCTTTAGTTTGGCGATATCATGACCTACAGTAAGGCGACTTTTCCCGAAGACGTGCTGCAATCGTTGTTGTTCCGTATTCAGTGAGCCCACGCGTTTATTCCTTGATGCTTTCCATACAGTGGGGCGTTCTGGCATCTTACAGTTCTTTTTCCCAAATGAAAAAATGGTGGTGCCTTGAAGGAAACCAGTTTTAGTAACAGCAAGGTGAAGGTATAGTGTATAACCCCCAGGGTGATTGTTTAAAAATCTCCTTCTCATTTTATGTAAATAGGTATGGTTCATAAAAGTTAGCCTGAAAGGATGTGAAGACAGGGGTTGTGAGATACGCGGGTTTTGAAACTCAGTAGCGTCATCGATGTTGAAGTTGTTCATATCGAACACAAGGTTAGGGTAAGGGCTACGGTCAGGGTTGGGGTTAGTGTTATAAGTGCGTTATTCTTAGAGCTAGAGTTGTCAGGCTTAGTTTGGCGTTTATGATTTGGATTTCAGGACTGGTTTGGGATTGGGATGAGGACGTTGACGTTAGAGTTAGGGTTTAAATGCTTGAGTAAGGATTACGGTTACGCTCGAGTTTAGCTTTAAGACTCCCGGGTAAGGGGTTGGAGGTACCCACTCCAGGCGAGGCCATAGTTGGTGTTAAGGTTGTAGATAACTACAGTATTCTTATGAAGCTTTCATACCATGTCCTTGCAGTAAATTCGCATTCATGCACGCGACCTCTCCCTCTTCCCTAACATTCAACCCCAATAAGCGGATGATTCAGTCAATCGGTTGCCCAGTCGCTTGTAATCTGCTGTTTTTTCCCTTGTAATGAACGACATTATAGGCCTGTTCGGTGGCTGTACTATCGCTCAGGTGAACAGCCATTTGGATTTGTGGCTTCTGGCGCGTCTCACGAAGTTTCTCTCTCTATGTGAAACAGAATGTACTCCTGATTGACAAAGACATCAGTCACCGAATCTACTTCGCTTTTGGGACAGCCTGCACAGTCTGCTGGCCCCCAAGTCCAGTCTCGTGGTTTGGTAGAGACTGCGCGATTTTCAAGGCCACGCTGATCGATCGGCCGTGTGTGCGAGCGGACAGGCCATGCAGTCGCCGAGCTAATCGATTTCTCGCACACACGGGCCAATCAGGTTAGAGGGGAGCAGCCAATGAAGAGGCGTCATTGTCATGCTGACAGCATGCTAGGGGAGGCGCACGTGGCCTCCAGTGATTGGTTGGCTCTCGTTTTTGGGAGTGTAGGACTCCCAACACAGGCCAAACAGTCGCCGAGCAGATCGAACACTTACCATTTCCAGGCAAAAATCACTTCTGCACGGCACACACCGCTCTCCTGAACGCAGTCGAGATGCAGACGAAACATTTATTACTGCCCTTGTGTGACCAAATTAAGAGTCAGCCGCCAGACAGTGGTCAGCGCCAGCTGTCGGAGACGAGAAAAGTGCCCAGGTCTACGCTCACACAGCAGAAAGCCCAGTGCGAGGAGAATAAATAGTAGCCTGTGAACGCGGGGAAATATCCTAAAAATGAAATCGACAAGGAAAGTCCATACGCTGTGCTAAGGTAGTCCGGAACTCAACGAAACATTTTTACTGTCCGACGTTCACGTTAGATTTAGGGTTTCAATGCTTGAGTTAGGATTACGGTTACGCTCGAGTTTAGCTTAAAGGTTCACGGGTCAAGGGTTGGGGGTACCCTCTCCAGGCGAGGCCATAGTTAGTGTTAAGGTCGTAGCGAACTGCGGTTTTCTCAGGGAGCTTTCATACCATCTTCTTGCAGTAAATTCGCATGCATGCACGCGATCTCTCCCACCAAGCGCCAGAGCAGTCTCGCTCATAAAGCGGGTGTGTACGACAGCAATTGGCACACTAGCTTCCAATACGCACGTTTCGCAGCCTATGAGAGGCCGACTCGAGTTGGCGACCAGACATCAACCAATGGGAAAGCGCCAACTCGAGCGACTCCGCGACCCTCAAGTACGCGACCATGAGAAGATGTCATGAGGAGCTGATGTGCGTACGTACTGCGGCAAAGCTGCTCTCCCTGTCTTCTACCCTACTGCAGGAAATAGCGCAATTGTTCTTCCTTGTAACTGAATGTGATGTGTGCCCACGGACCAAGGTTGATAACCGATTGAGGGTTTTGGCCGAATGTCTGGGTCAGGTGAACTTCAACTCAGGAGTTGCTTGATTATCTCGGTGGCAAATGGGACAGTACATGATATTCCAAATGGCAAACGTCGAAAAGGACAGTGCCCAGGTTTGGTGAGCAGGACTTCCGAAATCAGCAACTTTTTCCGAGGTTTGTAAAAATGTTAGTCCTTATGTCATCCATAAGGTTGGTGAAACAGGACCGCTCTATCTAAGGACCTGAGATTGGTCTCTGCTATAAAAATGCTTGGCGCCGTCGGGTTCGGTGTAAGCTCTGGATGGCATAATCGCACAACGCTGCTCCTAAATGTCCGGGAAATACAAGCGCGGGTTGCTGGCATAAGCCTCAAACCTCGATGGTTATAGAGGCCTAGAGTGGATAGCCTGCACCTTCTACGATACGATAGCGGAAATGTGCGGATAACCTCTGGAATGCTGACAAATAACAAATGATTTGAGATTCGGAACTACAACAGGAGTTGGAACAATTTTTTTGATTTTGCACAATTTGTAACCAATTTTGGCCTGGAGGGCTCGAAAATACATTTAGATGAAATTCATTCTCGTCAGTAGTCTGCCGGCATGGGAATAACTGAAATTCTGACTGTATAGAATTGTGGGTATTTTGTGAACTGCTATCTAGAATCTCTAAAAAACAGTTGACATTCAAAGCAACGGGTGATGTAGTTAGAGCCAGCAGCAGTGTTCCACAAGACCTATCCTTTGTTGGGGTGAGTGACGAAAAGCAAGCAGTAAAACATATCAGATCTGCTTATGTAGATTTGTTTTTAATAATTGAGCTTGGTGGTGTTAGATATAACGCTTAATAAAAAAATATGGATTTAAAATTGCGAATGATAGATAGGTAGATAATTTTTTATTAAAGACCCGTCGGGGTTCCATCAAAACGGACGTTCCCATTTCCCGATGAACCTGGCGATTGTGAAGACCGAGTCTGGAAATGGACCGCGATTATGACGCGTCTGGGAGAACATACGCGACTGAGAGGGAACCCTTTTGTACACTCGAAGGCTTTCTCGGCAGTAACTTTTAATTCACGAGTACACTGCATTGATATGGGTTTGACTCAAATCACTGCCAAAGTCCGTCATTTTCATATGGATAAATTATTTCATTCTGTAGATGGTCGCTTTATGTGCAATTGTAGGTCTAAATCACTCGTATAAAATGAATAGCAAATGTTTGCCATGAGTATTTTTTGAACATTAGATAATTAGATCATCTCCGTAATCCAGCTAAAACGTCTTGGTCCGCTTAGACGAAGTTCACTTTATCATTATTCATACCTGTCGTCTAGTGAACTTTAACAGAAAACGTCTACAAAGTAGTCAGGTTAATTTCTGCGTGATTCTGGAAGTTTTAAACAGCTACCTGGCTCTTAAAAATAAACGTAGTACCCTATGAAAGCGTTGGTGCTATTTATGACCAGGGTTTACGTTCCGGCTAATCATCGACCTTTATCTAACTCTCAGTTCCCTTGGATCAGTTTTCCTCCTGAAATCGGATGCAATCTGGAAGACGAACTTGTAGCTGACACACTGGAACTCATCTTCATTATAACACAAATGAAGCACTGAAAGTATCCCACGGCAAATCTCACCGCTCATGTCCGATTGGGGGCTCATCTTTCAGACAGTTGGTCCCAAAACTCAGGTCGGTATGGCCCGATACTTAAACCTCGCCTGGTTGATCATCAATCGCCTTACTCAAGCTATATACCATTTGAAACGCAGGCCAGTGTCTTTCCGACTGTGGACGAAACAACGTAGCTTTCAAAGGCACCCATCGAACAGTCTTAGATGTGGGACGAGGTACAGGATGATTCCATCCTGACTCGGAGCCCCTGTCCAGAATCTTTGTAGATGGCCCGAATGTATTTGGTAATCTAAAAGGGATACCAAACACAGGTATGGTCACGCCGTTTTATATACCGTCAGTAGCCGACTATACTCTAACTCCAACTTCGAAAGGTTCGGCATTTGAACCGAGATCAGTTTATCGTCCAGCTTGATGACCAAGGACTTTGCCTCCCGAACCGTCGGCAAATCCTTTGTCATGTGCGCTCGAATATACCCTCTAAGTCCCAAGTGTAGGAAGGATATGGTTAGCGGACGACGATACCCAAGTTAGAAATCGACAATTTATCGCCCTTCCTATTGCTAAGTCTGATCATGTTGATGAGAACAAGACTTCCGGGACTCCACCGCTGTGTGACCTTTATAACTTGCAAGCATAGGCCACCGAGTCATGTCTAGAAAACAAGCAGAACTTTCGTGGCCGGCGTTGATTGGAACAAAAGCGGTTTTGCATTTTTTGTGGTAAACCCAAATTCGTGGTTTATTTGGTTCCTGATCGGTTATGGTCAGAATGCAAACAATATTACATAGTTTTTCATCGGGGCAGTCCTTCTCATGTAACACAGTTGATGAAATATTGGCGATTAAGATTCATAAGGCAATAAAGACTTAAAAATGGCTTTCCGTTATAACGTGCAAACTAATCGAAGCCCACTGATAACAGTGATAGCACACTTGTACTAGGCGCTGAATAAATACAACAATCAAGAATACGAGAAGTTGTTGCTGTTGCATCATCAACTTTATCCGTCTAAAGTGTTGACTGGCAGACGTTAAAAAATCAGTTCCACCAACCAAAATGTACCATCATTTTGAAGGTCTAATCCACAGACTTGCAGATTCAATGCAACTATGCTGACAAGTACTTAATCGACTTAGTATAATAAGGACGACAAGCAAATCAATGTAACTGCAACATGGGATTTTTGAATTTTGAATAACAACCAAACAAGTACTAGCCCGTTGTATCCTTTCCTCCTTTCAGCTGCCAGGACGGATTTATGGGCGACCAATGCCAGTTTAGGACAAGTGGAATTGCCGGTGAGCTGCTTATATAATTCTGTTTAGAAAAACTTTCATCTATTAACAAAGAATACTGAAAGATGTAATGACCTCTTATTTTTACATTGTACATGTCTAATCGTTGTAAGTAATAATACAGTGACTCTTAGCTGCTCTTAAATACTTAGTTTACTATTTACTATGGTTTCCATCTGTTTGTCTTTATTTGTTTTAGTTTTGCTTGTAGTTGTTTAGGTCGAAACTCTAAAAGGTGTTATGAATATCCGCCACTCTGTGCCCCTGGTGGGCACGTTGAGCCGAGTAAAGATGCCATCCTTTACGTCAGTTCTCATTAGTTTCGGTGGTCGAGAGGGCTCAGTAGGAATGGCAGACAAGGTTATTACGTAGTTCTTGAGACTAGCTAGATTACAAAATTATGCTTAAAACGAAACCTATTTCTGCACTGGTATGTCTGGGTCTCGATGATCGCTTTCTTTCTATTGTCCTGAGTTTTCCAAAGGAGACAATCCTCCCACCTTGGACGGAAGATTTGTATCGAGCCTTTGCTTTAGTTAAAGGTCCACCTTCATGTCCGTTCCGAAACTATTCACACCATCTGTACGGAGAGCATCTATTGTCCGCGCTAGGGGTATTGAGATTCTATTTAGAACGCATTTAAAACCCACTACTTTTTCTGTGGGTCAGCAATCCTGCATAATATTTACAGAAGGCGATGCAGAGAATGTATATTGGCCTGAATTTTTAAGGTTGACCTCCTACCCCCGAATTGTAATGGCCGATTCAGCCGAACAAGACTGACTCCTGAGGACGCTATTCAGCAAATTGAATAAGTACAGTGGTGACGGTAGTAGTAAAGATGTCATCCTACACCTAGCCAGGTGGTAATTAAAACTCACTGTATAGCCGATTTTTGAAATTGAGTCTGATAAGTAAATGTGTTCTCCCCGTGTTGTGTCGTTAATGCTTTACTAGTTACTAGCCCGCCATTGATAAATGACGTCATGTGAGAACACTCCATTAGATGTCAGGGGATCTATTGATTATTCAAACTACTCGGAAATCCAAGCACGAAACACTATAGCAGAACGTTCAGAAGGCGCTATAAACGCCCATTTACACTTTTTGATTTGCAAGGCGCTGGCCTATTCTGACGAGTCATGCGACTCTGTCCAGTTCAGAAGAATGCCATTGGTCACTTGCCGCCATTTAACTTAGTGTTTGATATCCAGAAGGGACTCCATCCAAAGACAACTGAAAGGATCTACTGAACTAGTAGAGATCATGGTAATGACTGTAAATTAAAATACCCCTTTTTTAAACTCTTTTCGAAAGTCCGACTGTCAACCAGTGGTTTGGATGGCTAACGTGTGCTTTCATTCCGTTGGTTCTGATATGAGAACACCGATCGAGCTTCTTGAGTCTGGGACGCTCCTGTGATGAGGCAACCGGCTTGCAGTTTATATGATTGGCAAGTCGCAAAGGTGAGATAATGGGCGGCAATATTGAATCCATTAAAAAAACACTCATTCCCTCATACGAGACAACTTGGGTCCGGTGTGTCGGTGTTGAGTCCTGGATGTTGTTACAGATGTCTAATGGCACAGATTCTGTGCGTGCGTGTGAGCCCCTAAAACGGGCCACGGATTGGATGCGCGGGACCAACACAGGAGCAAGATCGGAGTTCAGTGGGTATAACTGGAAGTCCGCACTCATCTGGCGGCACACCCAGATTCAGACTCACGCCGCGTCGGTTGGAATTAAAGTCTCCTCTATTGCTCTTGTTGTGCAGAATCTCAGTCAGTAGAGGTTTTAAATTAGACGGGTGTGTTTGTACGCCTACGTGCGGGTATTCGCCGTACCAGCCAGGGGGCGAGAGTGTGGCAGATGTCGCGCAAGTCCGCTGTCATCATAAACGAATTCACACGCAAGTCACCGTCCCTGCTCTCAATCTGCTGTGGAACACACGGTGGACATCGTCTACAATGACAGTCAAACTGTTGTGTGTTATTGGTTCTTGGCTACAGTTATTACATCATCACCCGTGTGTGGTTTATAGAAAAGCTCGTTTCCGCATGAGACAACTCGGACCATTTCTGTCATAAGTTGTCAATAAATCGATGAAAGATAGAAACAAGCAAGTAGGATCCTGCGGACGACGCAAATGATGGACACTTCTTGTCGGAATGGTGGAGACTGTAATGGTCTCTCTAGGCAACTAGAGGTTGAATTTTAACAGTGTGCTGTAATCAAAGACAGTTTTAGAATACGGGCAATTTTTCTTCAGTACCGCGGCGTTTGAGTTACATAACTACAGCAGTTAACCTGTCTCGTGAAATATTGACCGAAATTTTAAAATGTATTTTAAATTAGAGATGATTACTTTGGTGGGATTGTTGCATTGATTATAGTGCAGCATACTCCCACGATGTTACAATCGTGCCCAGGATGCGGTTTTTTGAATGCACTCCATCCCATCCACACGGCAAAATTACACTCAACGTACAACTACTATTTAAGTAGTATAAATTTTTATTGGGACTCTAATATCTATATAAATTTGAATATAACTCAAGAAAACCCGCATAACACATCGTTTCTTGCGTTGATTTAGCAGCAAATAATGTCTTCAACTTTTATGATTGAAGAGGGGGTAGTTTCGTCTGTATTTTGCAGTAAGTGGATTTTTCAAACCGTCAAACATCCATCCACAAGGCATCGTATCCGTCCGTTTAGTAATGATGCCTCCGAGGCATTTAGCCTGATCCACATCCACTGTGAAATTTATATGCTCTACATGTCATCTTCGTAATAGCTTGAGGTAATGTATAATTACTTGCGCACAGAAAGTATACGCCATGTAGTTTGGAAATCCAGGACGCAAATAGAACTATAGGCCACGTTTGGAACCAAAAAAGTTTTCAAAAACTAAAGGCACCCTTTCCTCATGTCGACAATATGAAGAAGACGAAATTTATTTTATCAAATGACTACAGGAAAGTACACTTTGTGTTATAGTCCTTTAAAATATGTTTAAATTCGTAAGAACACCGAAAGCCGGCGAGGATAGAGCATATGACCGGGGTTAGAAAGACGCAACCTCTGGTGCCTTTCGTATGGGAATTGCGGTAGTAGGAGTTATACGGGTGTGGCCTCGTAGAAGTTTACTGGAGCTGCCGTTAAAGGATACTACTCGAAGGGGGTCCCGTGTTCGGCTGAGCGGTATAGGCCCACGTGGATTACGTACAGTGCCGCCTTTGATTTAAACTAAACGCCGCGGGGCTGAAGGAGACATTGAAGACCTTTTCATCCCACGTTGCGGACGTTAAGGAGTAGGTCGTGTCGTAATGTTTTCCTTTGGGTATCCGGACATGACGACCATGTGGACGGCAGAAATATGCGCAGAAAGACGCCTCTTGCATTCCCTTAACTGCAGACAAATCTTTTGCGATTTTTGAATAAGTACGTGTAGGAGGTAGAGTACACAGAGTCTATATAGACATTTTTGCGATTTGGTCCAAAGAATGCCATCCTGTCGTGCTAAGCCCCGTTGAAGAGCGTGACTGGATTTCGACCAAAAACCCTACCGGACAACGCCTACACAGTCAAAGATAGTAGGCAAATCACGATAGTAATTCTTGCCCGGTCATGCGCTTTATCCTTACCGAAAATTAATGGGTAAAATCATATTACTTATGTAGTCATTTTACTTCCAGTGGAGATCTTGCAGACAAACCGGAAGAAGTGCATTCAAGAGCCCGTATCCTTGCATGACTGTGGTAGCTTAGGGCTCCACTGCACGATAATCAATATAACAACCTCACTTAATCAAACCTTTCTAATCGAAAATAAATGTCACAATTTAGGTTAACATTTCATGAGATAGTCCAGCTACTGTATGTGGGGTTCAAATGCCTGTTGACCAAACACTGACGTGCTTTTTCATCTTTTTACTGCCACTGTCACCGCAATCGTGTCATGACATGCTGAATTACCGCGGACTTGGCCTCCCAGTCCTCTCTTCGCGCCTCAGTGATCGTAAACTCGGAACTCAGGAGTTTATTTTGCAGCTCCTGGTACAATGCATTCTCATCATTTTGATTGGCTGTCTGATAGTCGGTCTCATCCTCATCTGGCGCTGTAAGGACAGGCGTGAAAAGTAGGTTTCTCCCATTCTTACTCCCTGTCCCTCGCTCTCCCCTTATCTCCTTTCCCCTCTCGGACTTCCATTTTATAATTACCTGTCTTTTAACCGGACGGAGTGATAATTGGGAGAAATCGTTCAACGCCAGTCACAAGCGCCTCCATTCCAGAAACAAAACACGGTCGAGGCAACAATGGACATAATTATTTGTCTGTTCTAACTGCCGTGAAAAACAATCACTCGAGCGCCCCTGTCCACAAACACCCAGAAGCGATATTGCCGGCTTGTTGTTGCACTTGATCGCTCATACTATTGGCCAATGCAGACACCAACTCCGACTGACCAATCAGTAGGCCAAACTGGGCGCACCGTGCCCCTACCTGCGCGCAAACAGCAAACACCCAGAGCAGCTATGTGCTATAGTTTCGGCGGTCGAAGATCTGCCAAGGACACGTCTCTGGCTTAGATTTTGGGTTTCCGTTTGGCAGAGAGCGGCCATCCTCTATCCTCAGCAGATTCGTGGACTGTTAAGTATTCGGTCTTGCTGGAAAGCTTGTGTTCATTTGACTCCGCTGGTATTTGAACGCACGGCAGCAAGGGTATGGCCTGAGTACAGCCAACTTTCTAACCGTCTGAGCTACGAGGCCTCTAAATTGCCAGGAAATGCATCTAGCCAAGATCGGTACCCTTTGATAAGAGAGGTTTCGATGGTGCGAGGCGTTAAGGCGCAAGAATGTGCCAAACATGCCTACGCACACACGCCATTGCTCAGCTACCCGTAATTTTGTGTTTGATAAATCAGTGCTTTTGAACACATCTTACCCTCCGGGAGGTATCCGAAAACCCTCTCATCTATCTATTACTTCAACTAGAGCTGTAAGGCGTGGATTGATTTCCGTACTTAAAGCCCCGGATGTGTTGGGTTGTCGTACTTCTGTGAAATTAAGGCCTCTCGCTCTGACTATTTGGAACTGAATGAGAGTTGAGCGAGAACGTGATCTGATCAGTGATTATGCGACTTTCAACATCACTCGTCAATGTGCAATCATTCACGTGAAAGGCAGCACGATGTTTATTTAAATACTAGATTGGTCAGCGTTTGCAATTAAGTTGGTGAAGTATTTCGTCAGTCACTATGTCATTGACCTGTCTCCGAGGACGATAGCCACGTGCCTACCGACGCAGAGGCTTGGGCCTCTATGACAGGAAATGAAGCGCAAATTCATCCTTGGGATTTGCTATGGCCACCAGCAGAAAAGATCGTTTGTTTTGCTGATTCCGCTGCAGTGTTCGCCTCCACGCATCGTGGGTTCCTGTGTAGGAAAAAATTGTCGCTACTTTCGAAACCTGTTACCTCGCAGCCATTTCTCCAGTGTCCATCGATAACCATCTCAGCCATTTTATCAATATCCAGTCTGACGTTCGACGATGTTGTGTTCTTTTTTCGATTCTGTCTAACCGCCCCATTGATTGGCTCCTCGAGAGGGGGTCCGCACTGACTTGACGTTGTTGGATTCACCTCTAGACGCCGGTTCATTAACCCTGTCCACGCTACTGATATCGGCCTCCTATCGCCAATCTACGGTGAAATACAAAGTGCGATGTTGTGGCGAATGAGGTAGGTACATCAATTGGCTAGTTCATCAAAACTGCGAAAATCAAGAAATCACCAACCAAAAGGAAATGCGTTGCTTGGTTGATGGCTGTAGCATAAAGAAGTCGACGGTAAAGCATTACCGACAAAGACAAGGGAGACTGGAGTGGTCAGTTCCGGTTTATTTGTCATGCTCAGACGGCCACACTCAATTCCGAAGTGTGGTACACCTGGGGCTCGCTCCTGCGACCTGTTAGTTAGAAGGCCGACGCCCCTAGTCACTGAGCCTTGGGTTCGTTGGCCTGTCGGCTTCGATCGGGCATATACAATCGTAGAAGGGTTTTCATTGGTCACGCTACGAAACTCACTCGTCCCATTGTGGCTTGGCGCTCTCCCTCGAGCCCCCAGCAGCGATACAGCGGCGCGTGATACGGACAGAATAGCATGAACGATAAGGACAAGAAGGACCGTTTCTAGCCATTTCTGGTTTATTAACCGAATTAGACCGTTTCAAATAACCTGGATAGGTGTTCTCAAATGGATAACGGGTGTTTTCGTCGCCAAAACCACCCCTCCTTGCGAAGTTCTGCAAGTCTTCAAGAGTTCATATGAGCCTGTCGGGATACCTCTTTCTCTCTCTCGTCGCAGATACCCGCGAATACCGAACATCCATATGGTTATTTCCACTGTACCGTTGTGCATGGCGGATTATGTCCGCAGAAAACGAATGAAATTGGAGTTCTTGGACAGTTCTTGTCCGGGTAGGATTCTTCTAGTCAATACTTCCAATTGTGTCCGTGATGAGGCAGTCCCGAGACTCCAACTCATCATTGTCTGACCCATGAGTCAGCACTGCTACTCGGAATCGAACTCCGCTGCCTAAAAGGTGACTGCTAAAAACCTAGCTTGGCGCAGCCCGCCAACACAATGAGATGGTCCTCGAACCCTTAGCTCTTCGTCTTCGGTGAAGAACCTTGGTTGTTTCCTCAAGAATGCGTGGCGCCGTCGTTTGCACACAAAGAGGCACCGTCTACGACATCATCAGGACCGGCCAGGCCAATAGACCAACGACTTCGATATGCTTTATAATCAGACGGCTACTTTGGCCCCCTACCGACAGCGATCTTCCAGGTGAACAACTGTGCGTCTAGCGGGCCAAAATGAAAACTCTTGCCTAGGCCCTTACAAGGCGCGATTGGCACATTCGCCACTCCTGAATGTCCAGCGCATCGCGGTCAGACGTGCATTCCTTACCCTCTGTGGACCCACGGCCTCATAAATACGGAATTTAAAGGCGGTGGCTCCCTTGTAGATTAAAATATACTTGAGCTAACTGAGGCACTTTCTTCTCGGAATAAATCTGAACAAGGCAAAGGCGACGCGTCAACTGCTATGATGAACTTCAGGCCTACTTAACCAGCACTCAGGTAGCGGGCAACCTCGCCTTGAACGAACAATATAAGTGTTCTGTCAAGTATGATTTTCGTCCGTTTGAATTTCTCGAAATCAGATTTTCGTGGTTGGAGACCAACAAGAAAAACAAAGGATGATGACCCTCCCTCAAGTGAGCTGGAACTGCAGTCACCCGCTGATTAGCTAAAAGTCGGGCTACGTTGCAAACAGAGATCTGGGCACTAGATTGGCCACTTCTGACTTATTACCCGTAATCAGACAACAATACCCTAACGCCAGAAGCCGGTGCACCCAAAATGAGAACCTGTGGTGCTGTGAACTAGTGAGCATTTGGAGTCCATTTACATTCCCCGGGGATGCCGAACACGACTTCTACTGGCTGAAATCGAGAGCTCGCGGTCGCATAAAAGTCGCTTTCTACTGCCTGTTCTGACTCAAGGATGGAAGTGAGCCTTGCAGCTTAGCAATCAAGATGTCTCTGAAGATGTCGCTCTCATTTGAACTACGTTCATGGACGGATAACATGTGTTGGAGTGCCGTTTGGAATCTTATGAATTGGAAAAGGGAAAGGCGGGTGGGATGCCAACTTTGCGAGGGTTTAGGGTTTGTAAAAGCCCTTGAGTCTGTTATTAGACACTTCTAATAGTCATCCTTAGCATTTACAATAGTGGGCTAACTAATGAATTGTCATGCGAATTTGCGAAATGCGTTTTGGTCTCGAAAATATTAATGAAGTAGGGCTGTAAAACTAATCAGTCTGTAGCATAATTTCATTAAAATTCAGTTACTTCAGAATGCCGGCATTTGAACGATTTTCTTCCCGATTGCATGGAAAAAGACCACGCTCTGCAAAAAATGACTACTTAAGTAGCATGGAATTTTCTTATTGAGCTTCGATGCCCCCAAAAGTCCAATTCTATTTCATGGAAAACATTAATAAAAATGTTCATTCTTTACCGCATTTTGTAGACAATTACGTCTTCTTTCAATCTTATACTCGAAGGGAGGATGGCATTCGGTTTTAAAAAGTATCTAATTGTGAGACTTTTTAACACCTTAAAATGACTTTTCATAATTCGTCATGTCTATGCATTTACCAATGTGGCTTGTAAAGTTGACAATATGGATCAAATCCACTGCTAAATTTTATGAACGTTATATGGTCTCCTCTTAATACCGTAGAGAAATGTGTGGTTTTACGTATGCAAAAAAAATTTACGGCTTGTAGTTTGGAAAGCCTGAATCCAAGTGTAACGGTAGAGCGGGTCCAAAATTATTTCGGAATAAGGAACTCTTTGAAAAACGAATATCACCCTCCCTTCGAGTATAAGATTGAAAGAAGACGTAATTGTCTACAAAATGCGATAAAGAATGAATATTTTTATTAATGTTTTCCATGAAATAGAATTGGACTTTTGGGGGCATCGAAACTCAATAAAAAAAATCCATGCTACTTGAGTAGTAATTTTTTGCAGAGTGTGGTTTTTTATGCAGCCGACGAGAAAAACTTTCAACTGCCGGCATTTCGAGTTAACTGAATTATTATAGAATTATGCTGCAGGCTGATGTTTTACAGATCTACTTTATTAATCTTTTCGAAACGAAAATGCATTTTGTAATTTCGGTTGACATTTCATGAGTTAGCCCACGAACTGTACCTCAAAAAAACCATATGGAGTGGCTCAAGGCCATCTATCAGAATGTTGAGGCGCGTTTTTCATAGACAATAAGCAAATTCCTCTCAGTCTACATAGGGCATATTCTAGTTTGTCTTTAAGTTAACCGTCTGCCTCACCGTCCATTGCATTGGTTGTTTAATCTACAGGTATATTTACCTTCAGGCAACGCCGGCGGCTTCAGAGGACAAGGCACGAAACCGACAGAACACTAATGCTTACAAATAAGGTCAGTTAATACTCCACATCTAGCTAAATATTAATTACAACAGAACGTCAGACCTACCTTTCTGAAGGATTATTGACGCACATCAGGATCGTGATCAGCTCCTCATGTGTGTTTGGATATCTGAGGTTCGGTAGCAGTCAGGTCGCTGGCTGGTGGGCAGTGGAATTGTGAGTCACGTGCGGGAAGTTCAGTTGGTGGCATGCGCTCTTGGTGTTGGGTCGCCTTCCCAAACTGCAACTGCGCAATCGCTCTCAACAATGTAAATTGTCCATCTGTCCTTCTAGATGATGTGACGTTGGCGGAATTCCACGATCAGCTTTGTGATTCCGCGACTATGATGAGCCTCAAAATGGACATTTAGAAGGTTCGGTAGCGAAATACATTTGCTGCGCACGTTGCCTCTCCCCCGCACGCGTCAGAAGATTAACCGGGCGTTATCGGAGCTCCTTGACGCAACAAATGGCAAGTCTTCTCTTTGTCTGGGGTGTGGCTAAATCCTTCCTTTCTGATGGATGGCGCCAATGTGTATGGAGAGTACTATTGGATAGCAGAAATGGGAAATCCATCCTTTAACAGAATTTGATGGAAAATGCGTGCTCATTTTAGGAGGCGTACTGTCAGAACAGGTGTCCGCCGATAGGAGACGTGTTGTTGCTTTTTAATTTTCGTAGAAATTAACTGCGAACTTGGAGTCGATCAGTGTATACTAGGGTCTATAAGCACAGACCGGAAATGTGTTATTTTACAGGAAGGAATACCAACAAAGACCGGGGAGACTGGGTGGCCGTTTCTGACTTAGCAGCTCTCATCAACCAGCCATAGCTTGTTCCAGGTCTGGGCGACCTAGGAATCCGATCCGAGTTCTCTGCGCAGTGAGCAGTAAGTGGTCTAAGACTCCACCGTCGAGTCAGGAACCCTATGTTCTGTCGGTTACGATAGGAGATATTTGATATCACGACTGGCCTTGAGACTACACACAAGGGCTCTCGGTTGAACCCCAGGGCGCAAAGGAACGATCATTTCCCATAATCGACCAGCGAACGTCCATCCCATAAAATGTAACCGTACACCCTTCTCTACGCCCTATAAGCACTAGCAGTAGAAATCCGTAAGTAGTCGCATTATTGGTTCGATGATTCCGGTAATCTTAATACAGTCCAGCACTCCTACAAATACCTCGGTCACAAGTTTCAAGACCAAATTTTTCTTGACTATGTCGTCCGGCGGTTTTCCATTTCTGTTTAAACAGGTGCTCACTGGTAATTAAGGGTCTGCCAATACGTTTTTGGGTGGTAGTCGCGCAGAATCAGATGGCAGCGATGTTTCGTCTATCTGACAATCGGCAAGATGACCACGCTATTTATCGGTACAAGCGAAATGACAAGTTACAGAAAGTGTTTGAGAAGCAAGAGGCCCGGTTGTTGAGACGAGAACTTTATTTTACTAGCGTTTTAGATCTGCACTCTAGACCATCCTCACAGAAAGTAACACACGGGGATGAAGTGTAGGATGTATTGGATACGTTGCTTTGCAACGACATGGTTGTCTAAAAATAGCAGTTCCCACAATATCGTAGACAGCTGGGCTTGGCGTGATGCCAATTTTATTAACCACACCCCAGTCACTAAGCGTCGTGACTTCGTATCCGGTGTTGGTGATTGACTTGATAATTACTAGACCACTTGAGTCTCCCGTACTGCCGACGGAAATGGTGTTTACTTCTGTGCAGCCCTCTTAACTAAGTGCTTTGTACACAAAAAATTCTTGGCGCTGTATAGGAATGGGAGCTCGTTAATTTGTTGGTGGACTGCAGCTCGGGGGGAGGGGGGTCGTGATTTGGACAGTTTTACCCCTTCAGCTTTCGCGACAGCTTCGGTCCCGTCGAACTCAGAGGTGCGTCTGGGTCGCGTAGAGCGAGTTTTAGTTAGAGTGCTCGTATGATTGGTTGCGGAGGAAGGCGAGGATGACCGTAGCTTCGAACGACAGTTTGCGTACACGCAATAGTTTACTTGGAAGGTTTCCTTAATCTTTAATTGATAGTTAGGTGGATGAGAATGAAGCCCCATCCTGACTGATGTTGGCCGTTAAGTAACTGCTATATAAAGGTGTCAAGTAACCTACTGACCGACCAAGGACAAACAGTGCAACAATGCCTACTTTAAACGACCGAATCGCCCACAACCAGACCAGACAAATCGGTACCGTGCACACATTAGAGCTCTTTTTGCTGACCCTGAAGCAGTCCAGTGCGAAGTAGCTTGACGTCGGCCTGCGAGGTGGCGGGATGTTAAGTACAAGGATTTTTTCCCGTCAAATTATCCATTTTTTCCTCAACATTCTCTCTCGTTTCCTCTGTGCTATTGAAACCGAACTACTTGCTCCCTCGTTCTCGCAATGATTAGTTACTCACTGGTTTATCTATTTAAAACGGATGGCCTGACAACATTTTGTTTAACTAGACTCCTGGCTCTATGGACGCCACATGGGTGTCCTGGTTGGATGATGACTTGCATAAATCCTTTTGGGCTTTAACAACCTGCTACTTCTAGGAACGATAACAATGAGACTTAGAAGATAATAAACCCCTCAAGCGCCCTTAACTTCGTCAGTTTTTTGCCACGACGCAAATAACTGGCGCCATTGATGCAGTATCATTCATCAAGAAGATTCCTGACCTGTTCGACTAAAACTATATAGGCTGCAGTTTGAAAGTCGCTGTAATAAACTTCGGTCTCCTTTGAATAAACCAGACCCTGGCGCAGTTAGTGGCTGAGAGAAACATAGACAACAATACGACGATGGTTATCGTAACCCCTTCAACTAGGTCGATGGATTTGGTGTGTGACATAAAAGAAACAGCCCGATTTCGACTGAATCATGAACGTAGAGACGCCGATAAATAAATCCGAGATTCCACTGCCGCTAAAATTCATTACACTTGAAATGCACTGTTCCAAGTTATGACTAATCCAGATCAGTCTCTTTCCTAGCTGGCCTTGAGTCGCGCTGCTCAAGGTCATAAAACAGCTAAACATGGCGCAACAGCACGCTTCGGTTTGGCACAAGCAAAAATATAAATTAGAAACCTGGTGGTCACAGGCTGTTTTCAAACCAAATAGGAGCTGGTGCTTCCTACGTGACTGAATAAGGAAGATGCGTATGACATTTCTAGCTTTCCACATTGTCAACTAGCCTATGGTTACCTCAAGCGTCCAGTAATTCATTCAATTTACCTTTACCGAGTATTTACGTTGAAAACCCTGCTTCGTAAAGCATTCATCACTAGAGATGATGAAAGTATCAAAAGCAAGCAATACTTTAACCAGAGGCAGTAGAATTGTCGTCAACGATGAGGACTAACGGCAGAAATTAATCTTAAGAATCACAAACGACTCGTCTAATCTGTAGTCTGCATTTAAACAGGCAGTTCAAGTTAACACTTACGAACCCCCGCCACCGCGAAATCTGAGAGGCAGTCATCTACCCTCCAACAGCCTACCGTCACGGCGAGACGGCTTCCCCCGAAGACAACATCCGGACATCGAGAAGGCCGAGGTGAACACCGATTTCGCGCCTTGGAGACGTTCGCCAACTGACCCCTACTATCTCGACGGCGCAAACAAACTTGACCACCGAGGACCTACAGTTCCTTCGCGTTTCGGACAATCGAGGGGCCTGCCTACAGGCGGATACACACGAGGTGAAACCCCAAGTTTTGTTGTCTTCCTGGGGAATGAAAAGCCCCATTTTTTCTTTCTTTTTGTTTTCAGGGATCATTTCTACGCAAAAAATTACTTGAGTCTTCGCAAAGTAACGTTTGGGGGGAGTTTTTGTACTAATACCGCGCTGAACCTCAGGTTGTGTCGTTTTGGGAAAAGGCGAACTGTTTTTATGAAATGTATATCAGCTACTTCGTGTGAGACAAGCCTCACTCGTGTCGGTCACCAAAATGACGGTTTTGTTGCTACGGCTTAAGTTATGGTCAAAGCTTTATTACTACGATCTGGAAGCCAACTCCCAATTATGTTGCGCAGAAGAGCTGGAGTGTAGTTTGAGACAGAAAGCGTAGAGACACATGTCTTGTTCCCAATCTCCACATCCGTCGTCGGCGTTTAGGTCAGACAGAGCGACGATCACACATGCCTCTGGCCTGATTGGTCAGCCTGAGTAGTTGGGAGTGTCGGGAATGTGATACTGCATCATGAGAACCTCCAATGCGATGAAGTCGTACCATTTACGCCGGACGGCATAAATACAACCCGTTGTCTCTCGAGGTCGGATAAATGGTGGGCGAGATCACTGGCGTATCTCCTGCCCATTCTTTGAAGCGGCCAAAAGTTCCTAACTGTAAGCTAACATCGACTGAGCTCGGGAGCTTGGAACTCCCCCCCCCCTCTCCCCCTGTATTGCAAATGACACTCCTCTACATTCCAGGGCTGTTAGGATCCGGGTTAATGGTTAAAAGGGTTAGATTTATGAGGATGTTATTGCTCAGAAATATAATGTGTCCCCAATTTTTATTTCCAAAATGGGTACCGACTTGGCTTTGAGCGTCGGAACCTGAAGCCCCAAAACGTATTTCAACACGCACGCCATCCGAACGCCAAAAACAGCCTTTTGGCAAACTGTCACATAAGTGAAAAAATGTATTTGATCTTGTTAAAAGTCAGCTGGAAAAATACATCAGACACAAGTAGCACACTAGCCCACAACTCTGTTTAACTACTGCGACTTAAAAGAATGTTGGCAACGATCGGATGAGGGACCCTAAACACACACACACACACACGACCAGCCAAAGGTGCCTGTCTCACGGGGAAGGTGATAATAGGGGTTTTACGGATGGGGCCTATATGTGCATAGAGGAATGGGAAAATAAGTAAAGATAATTGGTAAATTCGTCATTTTCGGACGGAAAAGTTTTAATGCGTTAACATATAGCAACCAAAATCAAGGCGGACAATTAAAACAATGAACATAAGTGTCTACAGCGCTCGCTTCTCAAATCCCTGAGCTAAGGTCATTGTAGATAATGCACCAGACCGCCTGCAACAGACGATCCAACCTTTTACGGTGAAACACCAAACCGAAATAATCGTGTCGGACTAAAACCCACTTAAATAAATATAATAGGTATTCTTTGTATGCCAGAGATGCTTGGGGGCCTTCACCCGATCCTTACCAAGACGTTGTCTGCAAAATCGCATTTTACAGTCGTGGCCAAACTTGGAACATCAGCTAACAGTGAGGACAGGAGACCTTTCATCCCAAATGGTCATGCGCATTCTGGACAGATGCGCAAGTGAGAAAACGTGCAATATTAACGGCCGTCCAATAAAGAAGGGTCGAGAGTTTCCGGAGGGAGTACACTAGGCATATCGATTTGGATGTCCCATACGATACTCCGTAGGGTTAGGGAAAATGGGCCATCCGGACTTATGGGTGATCTTGACCTCAAATTTGGAGGCGTAGGGTTAACGTAAGGGTTGGGTTAGGAGAGTTATATTTGACGGTTAAAGTTGTGATTAGAATTAGTGTCAGGGCTAGTGTTGGGTCAGAGCCTGAACACGAAAATTTAGCGGTAGGCCATCTGTTGTACTGGAGACCTACAGTACGTGACCTACTTCATGAAACCTGACGAGAGAGCTGGTATGAGAAGTTGCGGACGTGTTAAACGTTGCGCACTTTTCTCATTCGTTCAGCCTTTTCAGGGAAATGTTATTTTCTTGTGCATAGAATGTGTCCACATAACTTTATCGAGCAAAATGCATACAACGCAATCCAGAACAAACTAAAAGTGCAAACTAATTTTACGGAAGAAATGTTCGTCTTACGTATACAAAATGATATATTTACGATTGCACCTGTTAATTCTATTTAAATTTACTAGCCAATGACTCGCATGGCAACATGTGCCCTTGTGAGGAGGTTTGTTCTTATGACGTTCATATCGACAAAATCAAGCGAAATCTTGTTTGTCTTACTGAACCGTACCCCCATCAATTCAAAAGCGTTAAGAATACCACGAATCTTTGAGAAAACGCTTTGGAATCTATACTTACTTCGGATGCGGGAATAGGTAGCACTTCGAAATTGGCTGCTAAGTCATCTGTTGTAATTGGAACCTACAGTACGTGAATTATTTCGTGAAACCTGATGAATAAATCTGATGTGAGGACATTTAGTACGCCTTAAACGTTGAATATTTTGCTTACTCGCCCAGCTTCTTCAAGGAAGCATACTTTTCTTGTGCAAAAAATTAGTACACATAATTTTATCAAGCAAAGTGCCCATATATTTGAGCAAAAATCGACGTTATGATATATTCGCGCAGTAGTTTACCCCCGAACTTTTTACTAAACAGAATTTCCCCATTTGAAACTTGACTTTTTGTCTGATGCCGACCGTTGGAATTAGTTCGACAACACATGGATTACTTCTAGGTAACCAGGCGTCTTCTTGATTCTCAGAACACAAGGTAGATGTCCTAAAGTACAGTACTAACGTGCGTAGGCAATCCTTCGTGCAACTAAGTCTAAACTGTTTTGCCATTGGAGAATTCTAGATTTCGACACCGAAGTATCCTCCGATGAATATTCATTCTTGGCTTTGAACACATAAAACATTACCTTTCGTACGGCCATGTTTCTGTGCATGTATAATTTCAAAATGGGACAGATCAATCATTAACAGTTTTGGCAAAATATCAGTATATATGTTGCCACTCTGCCGTGCATTCACAATCGTAGAACGGAGCCAAAAAGAGAGCAAAGATGGTGAAAAGGGCCGCAATATAAAGAGAAACACATATTCTTACGTTTGCGGTTGAAAAATGTCAGTTCGTTTTAGCAACGAGAAGGGAACGTAACATTAACTTCCCTGTTTCTTTTATCATTTTAATTCCCTTAAAATTTTTATTTATTATCATAGATACAGGATCCACGCACCGGTGTCGGTTTCCGAATAATTAACAATCAGTCCTAAGTTTCGAAATTTTCCATGAGTTGGGTAACCTACTGCATATTAATGTGTTCAAATTGTGAGTCATTACTATGCCATCGAGCTGATAAAGAGCTTAGATAGGATTTCAACGCGCAGAACGCAATAATATGTCAAAAAACGCGCTAAGGCGCACATCTCCCTACTGAGAGGTTTAGTAGCATATTCGACTATTCTGCCCAACGAACACTTCAAACAGACGATTTTCTTAGTTCATCCGATGAGTGGAATATCGTTTAGTCCTCCTAAAGAGAATGCCCCATGCATTGTGGTATTTAGGAAATTGCAGTTATTGTGTGTCAGCTTTTCTGAACTATCAACTCCCGGATTTAAAAAAATGTTTATAATCGCAGTCTCTATTTGAATAAGTCGCATGTCTTGTGCTTTACTAGTCAAAAATTCAGTTAAGACTCATACATTCCAAGGGTATTCATAAAATCCCCTCGAAAATTGTAAAATAATCGAGTGCCTCTTAAACAGCTGATGAGTGAGCTGGCAGTCGGCTACACCTGCGTAATCAGACGTCCACATTCCAGGTGGTGTGATAAAACTGTGAGGTGAAACTCAGAAATAACTTTCGCGTTAAGTCCTTCTTCCATGCCAAACCGTCTTTGTATGCCAGCGGAGAAACAGGCTTTCATCGGTAAATGCATTTCCATCAGGGGAAAGTTGGCTTGGTTCGACAATTATCTTTAATCACCTGATGTTTCGGTTTCTCATCCTCAGCCATCATCAGAAATGATCGCAAATAGAAGTGGTGGATGCACAAGAAACGCAGTATTTACAGAACGTAGACGTCGTGTAACCAAACACATCTAATTACATAGCAGCCCCAGCATTTATCGCCGTGGCCGAGAACTGCTTTTCGACTTGCTTCCGAGTCGCCGACTGTCACAATTTCTTCATACTTGTCAATTGTTAGAATGATAATGGCTCGGTAATTTGGTCTGCTGATAATGTCACTGGAAGCGGTATTCGGCTGAAATGTCAAGCGAATAAAATTCTCATTCCAACGAATTGCTTCCCGAGACCGTCCTCTTCGCTTCTATCAGCGGTGGTGTATTCAATATGTGACTCTTTGAGTAGAAGGCTTGAATACGGAAAAGCGGTGTGATACCATTAGTAGACATGTGGTACTCCTCTTTCTTGTGGAACCATGTGCGGCACTAATTCCGACGTTAATTCGTCCGTTCTGCCGGAAGTCAGGTGATGATGTCATTTCCGAAGTTTCCATTGTGGCTCAGTTGACGGATCTCTAGTGGGGTGACAGAGATATCGAAAGCCGAAGGAAAGCCCATAAGAATCAACTACTGTTTTTTTTATCTGATTGGGTTGGTTCGGGTGGCTAGAAATGTTCTCAACAATAATTCATCATGCCACGGTGATACGCACTGTGCTCAGTGATCGGTAACATATCCTATCTGAAAGCCCAGTCAGGATTTTCGGTAAATATTTCACTGGCGCTGGTGCCTTTTTGTCGTCGTAAACGCCGATCTGCCTCATCATCACAGCAGAAAACGCGGACTCCTGATAAAAAGCTAAGACAACGGAGATAAATTTAATGTAAAAACTCTCGAGATATATTTTATGGCCTTAGAGGAGTGGATAACAAGGCGAGCCATTCTAGAACGTTTTTTCTAACAAAATAATTAGTTAATTCTGATTTACCGCCCAGAACCCAACCCGAATCTAAGGTGCGACAATCACTGAAGGGCTGAGCCGGAAGTCCGTGAAACCAAGTCAACATTAGGAATGGTCTCGCCGACTCGTTTAGACCGGCATGCACATCATGGAATTGTGATCCTTTTAGTTGACATCGGAATTACAAACGTAGATGGACTAACTAAACTAACCTCATAGTTACGAGGACCGCAGCGCCTGCACGTCCGACCAATCATATTTGTCTTTTGAATTTCAGAACACCCCCCGTCGGCACTTGGAAGGGCTCAGCTAATAAACGAACTCTCGGATGATTTCAGACAGCAACCAGCCTACCGGGCCTATGCGGTGTCCAGTCGAATGCAGCGCACGCGGCCGGACGTAGGCGCAATCAGCGGTGACAGACTCAAATACGATGAAGAAGCAGAGAATTTGATTGGCTAATCTGATTGCCCTTCGGCGTGGTCACCAAGACAACTATCGCCCTCGGCCTTTATTATTAGCATTTTTGCAAAATAAAACCATTTCGGTCCTGTAAACGCAATCAATAGTTAAAAAATGATAAGATTCCCTAAAGTTTGCTTTACTCGCATGAAGTAGTCAGACAATTTTATTTTTAAATGCTACCCGCTTTAACCAGATGACACCACTCACAACGCCAACTTATCAAGACGCTACACAGTGCTTTTGCCGTATCCCGTAAAGGATTGTTACTTAGTGACTTTTTTAAAATAATACGAAACAGTATTTCACTGTGACTCAGGTCCTATTATTATTCGCATCTACTTTTGTAAACGTTGGACAATGGAAAATAAATATCCATAATTTCGAAACCATCGTTGTTTGCCTTAGGGTAGTGATTTGACGTAATATGATACAAGTAGCAGGATCAAAAGTAGAGGCGTTCCGTTGGAGGGGCGTTCTAACGGACGTTTCATGTAAGCGGAGCGGCTGTCGGCCTTGGTCAGCCAAACTCCAGATCTGAGGGTAAACGTGAACTGCGCACGGGGTATTCCAGGTCTCAAAGATGGATACCTAATACTGTCATTTGGAGCACAAAAACAGTCAACATCTTACTCGGGGTATACGTATCCTCCTGCTCATCCTTCTTCGATATTTTGTTCGTCAATTAGCTAAACTGTCATTGCAAAGGCCGAGGTGTTGATGCACTAATCAAGTACACTAAGTGACCTATCTCATGAAACCTGGTGACGAACGTTTTAAACGCTGCGCTTTTTGTACGCTCGTCCAGCCTCTCCAAGAATCTGTCTTTTTCTTGTGTAGAAAATATGTCGAATATTGCCGAATAATTTGGAGTCTGATCATTCGTTGCATTAGCGCTTAGTGATTTCACTCTACAAGGTGCATGCGTTCCGCGTAAAGAAAATCACATATTTTTCTATGTCATTAATGAGATATCATACAGATTCCATAAAATTTTGCAATGAATGCGGAAGATGTTGTACATTTCATGAGGAGCAGTGGTAAACGGCCATGTACGATGCGATGTGAATGGACATTTCGCGGTCTTAAAAAGTCTCATAATTAGAAACTTTTTAAACCCTAATTATACTCCTTCCTTAAGTAAAAAATATAAAGAAGACGTGATTCTCTATTGATTGACTAAAAGAAAGCATAGTTTTGTTTATGGTTTCTATAAAATATATTTGAATTTCCAAGACCATCGAAAATCAATTGGAGAAATGTACGCCTCTTAAGTAGTCATTTTTTACCGAGTACGCTTTCTGCAGGAGATTGAAAAGAAGTGCATTTAAAAGCCGACATTCTGCCAAGTCCGAAATGTCATAAGAGTATACCGTAAGATAATCAGTATTACAACCGCGACAAGTAATCCTTCCTGATCGAAAACGCAAACTTCACTAAAAGACTATTTTTGGAGGTCATTCTAGTTGTGCTTCCGTATTTACTTAGTGTTTTGCATGGACAGTTTTTCTGCAAAAATAAATTTGAAATTTAGTAAATTACAAAAATTTCCAACGTTTTTGGGATTTTCAGCCTTTCTAAGAATACTTGGTGTTTCCAAATAATTTAATATTATTTTGAACATTTCTTTTATGTTTTTAATCCCTTAAGTTTGTTATTTTTAAACAATGGATATTGGGACCTCGCATTGATTAGAAATGATTCGCAAATTTCGACACCCTTCATGAGTTAGGTCTTCCACTGAACCCCAATCAGGAGATTAGTCAACATGCGTTGTCCATCCGGACGAATTCGGGCACTTTCAAGGGTATGCACTTATGCAGATCCATAGTGACACCATGCAAAACTACTTGACTGTATTCGGGTCACACTCTCAACTGATTTCAAGAACAGACCGAAATAACAAGAATCTATGTTCACCTCGGGTGCTGTAAGACGTTTCAAACTGGACAATTATCTGTCATTCTTTTTAAAAAGTGAGAACTGCTTCATTATGATAAGCAAGACTCACTATGGTTTCGAGACTGCCAACGCTTCCGGTAGGATAATTTGATTTAATCGCCGTCGTCACAACATATATTAATAGTCAAAAGTACTAGCAGTCTCTACTGTTTTCATCGGCGCGGATGTGGATTTCGGCGCTGATCTTAACTTTTTGGCCACGCCGATCATCTCGAAACCGTCTACGTAGCATTTATATCTTTATTTTGATTGTCGATGCGTCAGATATTGAATGCCCGGCTTCTTGGATCGATTGGAGACTCACAGAAAGCGCTTACTAAAACACAACAGTTTCAGTCTAGCCACAGTGCGTATTGCGTCTCGTAAAATTATCGTGTCTGAGTCCGTCTGATGATATCTAAAAGTACATCCAGTGTGTATCACCAAAGCCTGAAATCAGTCTTCATTCTGAAGTTCATATTCAGTGATCACAATTTCTGGCGATTTGCAAGACATGTGGAGTAAAGTTTTATGAGGATGGAAAATTAATTACATTTTGTTAATTTGATGAGAAACCGGCTATGTACAGCACGTCCCCTATTTCATAAAACTTAGTAAAATTAACTGGTGAGAATTTTCCGACGCCTTAAGCGTCGCGCACTTTTTTTGCCCGCCCGGCCTCTTCAAGGGAACGTCTACTTCTTGCGCAAAAAATCTGTTCACGCAATTTTTCCAAGAAAAAATGTTCATAACGTCTGGGCGAAAATGGACGTTGCTATATACCCGGGCAAGTACCTACGCTAATATCTGTCCCAGTCTTCGTTTGCGCATTTCGGCGGGTTTTTCTTTGAGAGGAAGGTAATTTACTCTTGAGAGTCTTAATAAGCAGAGGGTGCCGGACTTGAAATTTGACTTTTTGTCCGATGCCAACTGCGGGCATCAGCTCGCAAACACGGTTATTTTGGGAGAACCACGTGCCTAGTGGAGTTTTAGGAGCCATATAAGGAGATCTATGAGATTTGGTGAGTAGAAGTGCAGTAATGACGCACACAGGCAATCCTTCGTAGTGATATTTAAGTCCATGTTCTTTTAACCAGTTAAATACGCTTGTTAAATAACTTGGCGCAACTTTGAATAAGACAAACAGCAAAGCTG